GGGAACTATATTCAATATCTTGTAGTAACTATAATGAAAAAGAATATAAAAAGGAATACATGTATGTGTATATATGACTGAAACATGCTGTACACCAGAAATTTACACACTGTAACTGACTATACATCAATAAAAAATTAAAAATAAAAATAAATTGTGCACTTTAAAAGGTTAAAATGGAAAATTTAATGTTTTATATATTTTGCCATAATTTATAAAAATAATGTAATATATTAAAAACATTAAATTGTACACTTAAATGGGTAAACTGCATGATATATGAATTATATCTCATTAAAGCTGTTAAAATATACATATAAAGATGATTTGGGTAAAAGTATCATATGTACAGCAGTATAAACAAGAAGATCTACCAAATTTGAAGATGCCTAGGTAAAAATAATTCACATCTATTTAGTTGTATTAACCTACACTTGGGCTCTATTAAGTAACTAGTCTAGTACATACAGGAAAGGATAACAAAATTAAAATTTGGTCAATAAAAAAAGTGACTGTAGTAAGGATACCAACTAATGACAAGATATAAAGTACCTGCTCAGAGTGCCAATTTTTCTAGAGATTCAAAAGTATTATTGTACCTATTCTGTGTCCCCTGGATAAAGATAACAAGCATGTGGATCAGCATTTAATAGGCAATGTGAATCATCTGAAATTGATTCCTAATCAGGAAAGACTATAGTGCTGGATGAATCAGAGGGAAAAGCAGCATGTCTATTTGTGACCATAGAAAAATAGGATAATAAAATTATCAGCATTCTGTCCTAGAGCCAAAATAAAGCAAAAGGGGGTGGGGGGAGTGTGAACAATAATGCTTTCAAAGAAAGCAAAATTCACTTTTAATCTAAGAAGACTATCACTTTATATATAATAGGATATCTTCACAAAGCATTTACTGTAAAACACCAATTTAACTAATAAATGAGCCTTGTCATTATTCTAGATCATACACCTCAATTCTATACTCTCACACAAAATAAAAGAGTATTTGCCGAATAGTTATTTTGGCATATAAAAAAATTTTAAAGCACTTAAAAAAACTTTTTTAAAGAAGTGAAATAACTTTTTCCTAAAATTCTCTTGAAATGTAAAAAATCACTATTAATAATTATTTTTGTTAACGTGGACAAAGTCCAATTTCTAAAATTTCATGGAAAAAATAACCAAACTAGGTCTGAAAGGAAATACAAATTATGTATTATCTATTTATCTCATCCATACTCATGTTATTCTAGCTCTTATACCAATTCAAAGAAAGGGAAAAATTTGGATTCCCCTGATACACAGTCTCCAGTAATGCATTCATTTGTTATTTGACCCATTTATAAATCTCCCTTTAGCCCAAAACTATTATTCAATTCTTTCTAATAGTTTACTATAAAAAGATGAGCCTATAAAAAAAATACTGTTTGGAAATAAACTAAAAGAAAATTTTAAAAATCTATCTGCAGATAGTAAGGATTAAACTATTCCTTTATCTATGAAGACTTAACAAAAGACAGATATTCTTGCATCTCAATTATCTTAAATTTGGATTATACGATGACACTATGGGGGGAACAAAGATACAATACCACTTATACTGGGCACTTTCAACACCAATGATTATCTAACTCCACGAAGTATGCAAGACTTCAGAATGCCAACAAAATTCTCAAAACTGTATTCATTGTAATGGAAATAAATATATACCACAGACCATGGTTTAGCTGGTGCTGGAGACACAGAATAGCCTACTGAAAAAGCTACTATTCTAGAGCCAAAATAGTGTGTACAGATAACTTTCAGAGGGCATTAACTGTTTATGAAAAACCTGACCCCTAGTGGTTATAAACTACGGCTACATACCCACAAAGGACTTTTAAAAGAAAAAACAAAACAAAACAAAACATGTAAAGTATGGGTAATAAAATCTATAAAAATATATCATCTTTTATGGTGACAGATGGTAACTAACTAGACTTATCATGGTGATCATTTTGAAATGTAAAGAAATATCAAGTCACTATGTTTTACCAAAAACTAACATAGCATTGTAGGTCAATTATTTAAAAACAGACAGATCCTTATTAAAAAAAGACATCAGATTTGTGGTTATAAGAGGCAAGGGGTCAGGAATATGGGGAACTGGATGAAGGTAGTCAAAAGATACAACTTAATCCCTAAGACATGGGGAATGAGAAAGATCTGTAGGACAGGCAGGGAGAGGCAAACTAGGTCTTAAAAGAGTATTTGTAAGCCTTACCTGGCAGAGATGAAGCAACCCAGAGGTTAAGAAGCAGAGCACGAAGAAAAACTGGGATAAAGGAATGTACATGGTATATTTAAAGAAACTGAGTAGTACATTTTGAGTAGAGTAGAAAGTCTGGATCTGGGAGTTGTGAAAAGTCACCCCCAGCCCTACTACCACAACCACCACAATCCCATGTCCCAACCAGAAGTCCACTTCAAAAATCTTCAGAGGACTGGGTTTGTTTGGGGATTTTTAGATTAATACAGTAACTATACACAAAACGGACTGAAAGAACTAGGGGTGGGGTATGAATGACCTGTAAAAAAAAAAAATTTCTGGATTAGCTGAAGTTGGGAATGGAAAGGAAGAGAAAGACGGAAGAGACACTAAGAAAATATCTAGGAAAGTGACTAAAAAAGTAATGGAGGCACTGACAGAAGCAGTCAAAGTGCTGGCATAAATGTTACATGGAACCACACAAGCAAGTACCGAGACCCACTCGTTTATAACAGGTATTTAATAAACTTCCTTTTTTAAAAAAACACCTTCACTGAGATAAATTTTTGTATTCTACAATTTTCCCTTGTAAAGTGTATAATTCAATGGTTTTAAGTATATTCATAGTGCTGTGAATATATGTGTATTTATGTGTGTGTGTGTGTGTGTGTGTGTGTATCTATGTACAACCTAATTTTAGAACATTTCATCACCCCCTAAAAAGAAATTCTATAACCATCTGCAGTCACCCTCCACCCCACCCCCAGCTATAGGCAAGCATGAATCTACTTTTTGTCTCTATTGCCTATTTCGAACACTTCATATAAATGGAATCATACAATATGTGGTCTTACTAAATGTTTCTTGAATATGAAGCAGAACTTCTGGAAGGAGTGCTAGTTCTAAGAAGAGAATGAGTTTATGATGCGTTAGTGGGGGATGATGATACCAATCACATGAGATGCAGACAGGCACCTGAAGATGCAACTGCTTGGGTAAAGCATTATGTCTTTCAACTCCAAGACTCTAGGTCATTCAAGTAAGGAAGAAAATGAAACAATGAAGGAGGTTGAAAATTCCCAAGGAAAAAGACTGTAGAGCACAAAGAGCGGGGAGCTGACTGCATTTAAGAAGGCCTTTACTTAAGGAGAAAGACTAGCCTCAGAGGCAGGAGAATCAGAACACAACTACAAAGGCTGAGGAAGAGAAGCCACCTGTAGTGTAGAAGGCTGGAGTTGAAGGAGGAGGAAAATGGAAAAAAGGTTATAGGATTTAGTAACTTTAGAAAAGCTGAGTTTCAATAGTTACGTGTGTGTAGATCCACAGAAGAAGTAAAAGTGCTTAAGAGAGAAAATGAGTAGCAAAATATGGAGAGAACATAGCCTGGGCTTCATACAGTTATAAGAAGGATTAAAGACAAATGTACAAGTGAAATATTTCAAGAGTATGAAGTCTTCTTAAATACAGGGAGTTATTTAAATGCATTCTTGATACCTATTCTCAAGTTACCAGACAGTAAAAAATAAAGAAAAGGAAAAAAAATGTTTTAAGAACTTATTTTCTAAGAATATGAAAACAAATATATGTATGTATATGCATGATTTGGACACTGTGCTGTACACCAGAAACTGACACATTGTAACTGACTGTTACTTCAATTTTTAAAAAGTGAAGAAAAAACCGGAAAAAAAAAAACTTCTTTAATGTGAGACCCACAAAAAAGTATCATTTTAAAGCATAGGTGCTATTCCCAGGGTTTCAATATCATGTTGGACCACATGTAGAATATCCAAAATATATACTCCAGACACAATAAAATTTTATATAAACAAATAAAAACATTGATTTCTTTCCTACCCTAAGTAATGATTTTTTTTTTAAGGCTGTGACAACAGCCATGGAAATTTTACAGGAAGAAGTACAGTCGACCTTCAGTATCCGTGGGGTATTGGTTCCACAACCCCCCTCACCCTTACTCCCATAGATACCAAAATCTGAGGATGTTCAATTCCCTTATATAAAATGGCATGGTATTTGCATAGAACCTAAGCACATCCACCCGCAAACATATACTTGAAATCATCTCTAGATTACATACAATACCTAATACGATGTAAATGTTATACAAATACTTGTAAATATAATGTAAATGCTATGTAAATAGTTGCCAGTGTGTGACAAATTCAAGTTTTGCTTTTTGAAACTTTCTGGAACTTTCCTAATATTTTCAATCTATAGTTGCTCAGACGTGGAAGGCCAACTGTAAGGCTAAGATAATTGGGCAGTCACTAAAAACAAAGTACATGCCATAATTTAGCCTGAATCTGTCACCAGCTCACTTTACACTCTTAAATAATTAAGTGTCTTTAAATTTTAAATACAAATAAAATGCACACACCACACAATAGTTTTACTTCTATTTATTAATCACGCTAATATGCTTCATATTCAAAAAAAGAAATCAGAATATATAAAAAATACAAATTTAAAAAATGAGTTTAACTCTTCAATTCATGAAAGACTCTTTCAGTTAACAGGACTTAAAAATATTCCCTTCAAGTTTAAAATGTGATGCAATTTTCTAAAACTTATCTATACGTAACTTTTAATTGCAAAAAGTAATCCTCAGGGAGCAAACTTGCATAAGAACAACAAAATGGATTGAGGTTACACTAAATTAAGAGCAAAATGGGAAAATGAGAACCGAACATCAGGGTCACTAGAAAATTTACAGATATAAAATTTCACTTACCTTTTTAAACATAACTAGTGAGATGACTGCTGATGCTGTGAAAAGTGCTGCTATGATTATCATCATGATTCCAACAGGAATACTCTGGTTGAGACCAGTAAGGGATGAAATCCAACCACTATGAAATTAAAAAAATAAAGTAAAAGTAGGCAACTAAATGAATGCATGCTTTTAAACAATAGCATAACAACTAATACATATTCAGTCAGCACTTATGGGCCAGGCAACTTTCAAGTTCTTTGTATGTATTAACTCATTTAATTCTCACAATAACCCCATAAAATACATGCCATTTTTAATCGCTATTTTACAGGTGACAAACTGGGTCACAGAAATACTCAGTAACTTGCCCAAGGTCATACAGGTAATGAACAGCATAGTCTAAATTCAAGTCAAACACCAAATTCAAGCCTTGAATGTGTACTACCAGATTTTATACTTTTTTAAGCCAATGATTTCACTATTAGTTTTTAAATTTTGCTTAATTATGTAAGAAAATATTTACAAACCACATATTCAAAGGGTTAGCATCAACAGCAACGGGATTTTAAAAAGTAGAATAGGTAAACAAGATTGTACTGTATAGCACAGGGAAAAATATACAAGATCTTGTGGTAGCTCATAGCGAAATAAAAATGTGACAATGAATATATACTTGTTCACGTATGACTGAAAAATTGTGCTCTACACTAGAATTTGACACAACATTGTAAAATAACTATTACACAATAAAAAAGTAAAATAAATAAACAAAATAAAATAACAATTCAAACTACAGAACTGTACAGACTTTAAATAAATAAATAAATATGTGAATAAATAAATTTCAATTAGAAAATGGACAAAGACATGAAGAAACATTTCACCAAGAGGATATAAGGATGGCGAATAAGCACATGAAAAGATGTAAATCATTATGATTAATTAGGGAAATAAATATTAAAACTACAGTGAGATATCACTACACACGTATCAGAATGGCTAAAAAATGTGCGTGCAGCTTACTGTACTTTTCAAAGACGTGCATGTCTGTGTATGAACATATGTTTGTATGCCTAAAACAGTGCTTTACACATAATAGGTACCCTTTTCCTTAAATCCCTTCAAGTTCTTTTCTCCCCCTTCAGCAATCCTTGGCCCTCCTATCAGACCACTCTTCAATCTCCTTTTACTCTTCCTCTTAGTGCCCATTATCTACACATTTTATTTAAACTAGATACAATATACTGTTCTTAAAAATAGGAACATAATTTTCAAATAGAATGGCTTGTCCAAAGGTTATTCCTTAAGAAATTCTTTAACTGCATTTTTATTATTTGTTTACTTTTGCTAGTTTGGCTTTTCTATGTTAAATAGTTTTAGGAAACCAAAAACTATATAAAGATACCAGATGAACAGATTGTAAGTGGAGTGATGAAAGTAAATGACTTACCAGTTACCCCAATTATGAAATCCTGCAGCTTGGAGTACATGTACAGCAAACTGACAAATATAGACGAAAAAGAACACAAAGAATCTGAATGAACTGTCACTCCTGTTTTTAAAAAGAAAGGGAGCGGGGAGAAAAAGAAAGGGAAAAATGTCATTTTTCTCGATACCTTTACATTTGCATGCAGACTGACATTCAAACACTAAAAAACACCTTTTAAAATACCAGTGGCCGGGAGGAGGGCATAGCTCAGTGGTAGAGCATGTAATTAGCACGCATGAGGTCTTAGGTTCAATCCACAGTACTTCCATTAAAAAAAACCCCAAAACTAATAATAAACAAATAAACATCGTTACCTCTCCTTCCCCCCAAAATAAATAAATTACCAATGGCAACTGAGACTTAAAATTTATATAACATAATAATGTAGGTGAACCCGTTATCCAAATACTAGATGATATTATTCCAACCTCACTTTGTCCTTTCAATTTCGAACTACACCACAAAACATCCTGACGAAAGAAAAATTGTTTTCATTTTTAATTAAATAGCATAACTGAATTATAATTAACATACAATAAACCAAATACTTATAATACACAATTCAGTAAGAGTTGACATAAGTATTTAACTGTGAACTTTCTCTAATCAAAATAGTGACCATATCCCAAAAATTTCCTTGTGCACTTGGTTAATCCCTCCCTCCCCACTGCTGTCACTACCGTTTCATATTTTAGAGTTTTATTTAAATGGGATCACACAGTATATACTTTTTTCTTGTCTGCCTTCTTTCATTCAGCACAATTATTTTCAGATTCACTCACTTTGTTGCATGTTTCTCCCAGACTGTGGCTTGTCTTCTCATTCTTTTAAGAGTGTCTTTTAAAGAAGAGAAGTTTTGCCTTTTCATGAACTCTAATTTACCAACTGTTCTTTTATGGAGCTTGATTTTATTGCTGTATCTAAGAAATCTTTTCCAAAGCCAAGGACACAAAAATTTTATTCCTGTTTTTCTCTAGAAGTTCTATATCTTTTGGCTTTACATTTAAGACTATGTTCCTTTTTTAGTTAATTTTTAAAATGTAGTACAAGGTATGGTTAAAGTTTCTTTTTTGCATATGGATACGCAATTATTCCAGCATCATTTCTTAAAAGATTGTCCTTTTTGCATTGCATTACCTTTGTACTTTTCTAAAAACTCAGTAATCTACATATGGGTGGGTTTATTTCTGGACACTCTATTCTGTCCCATTGCTTTATGTATCACATCATTATAATTATTGGAGTATTCTAGTAAGTCTTCAAATTAGTTAGTGTTAATCTTTCAACTTTGTTGCCCTTTTTTAAAGTTGTTTTGGCCATTCTAGGCTATTATATTTCTATATACCTTTTAGAATCACCTGGTTCATTTCTAGAAAACAACCTACAGGGATTTTTATTGGGATTCCATTGCATCCATTGATTCATTTTGAGAGAAATTACATCATAATAATATTGAGTTTCCCGATCCATTAACAAGGCATATCTCTCCATTTATATTTTCTACATTGATGATTATGTAATCTGTGGATAAAGACAGTTTTACTTCTTCCTTTCTAATTTGATGCCTCTTACTCGGTTTTCTTGCCTGTTTATATTGGCTAGAGCTTCCATTACAAGTTGAATAGAAGTGGTGAGAATGAATATCCTTATCTTGTTCTTGGTCATATGTAGAATACTTTTGTCTTTTACCCTTAAGATGTTAGTTGTTAGTTACAGTTTTTCACAGATAACCTTTAGCAAGTTGAGAAAGTTACCTTTTATTCTAAGTTTATTGGGTGCTTTTATTATGAAAGTAATTGGATTTTGTCAAATGCTTTTTCTGCATCAGTTAAGATAATCATATGGTTTTTCCTTTTAGTTTGTAATATGGTGAATAACAATAACAATAATAATTTTCTAATGTTAAACCAACCTTAAATTCCCAGAATAAGCTCCACTCACTTGATCGTGACATAGTATCTTTAAACATACCATTGAATTTGATTTGTTTGGCAAGATTTTCAACTGTCCTAAGTTTACTCCATTTCTGTTCATCACAGCCACTATTCCAACACATTTTTTCCAAGGTCCTTAACATTTCAACTTAGTCACCGCATTAAATTGTTTCCTTCATCAGAGAGGAAAACAGAAGCTGTAAGAATACGCCTCCTCAATTTCCTGTTCTCCACAATGACTTTCTATGTTTGTATGTACCACCAATATTCCTAACTGCTTATCGGTGAGAAGGCAGACTCTCTCCTCTCAAAATTAACACTCGCATAAGAAATAGTTGCTTATATTCTATTTCCTCTGGGGCACCCTACCTACTTATTCTCTCTCCTAACATGTCTTTACCTCTTCTGCTAGGTTCTTCCTTTCAGTGTGTAAACATATGCACACTCTTATCTCCTTCCTTCCCATCAATAACAGAAGTCTCAAAGGAGGATTCTACCTCCGATTTCTTCTACCTTCCTCTTCTCGTTCACTTCTCAATCCACTGCAACTTGGCTTATCCTCACATTCTCCTTCAGAGGTATTTCAAAGTCATGGGCAAGTCCAAAGCAAATTTCTCTAGTCTTTTTACTTTTTTTTTTAAATGATGTTTGACACTTAATACCCTTCTTAAACTCTTTGACCTTGGCTTCCAGACTATTACTCACTTCTACTTCTGTCAATTCTCTGATCTAGAGTGCTTCTCAGTCTCTCATTTCAAGATCCACCTCCTCTATGTCATAGTGTAAAACTGTTTTTACAGGGAAGCTCCCTAGGTGATTCTTGTATCTTCTAATATTTGAAAACCACTAACTACAAGATGAAGTTAGTTTAAATAATGTAACACAGCATATACATCTCTTCATAATACATATATTCAATCTCTCTTCCAGCTGCTCTAAAGTGGAAGAATATATCTTGCTATCTCTACTTTTAATTTTACTCTGCCTAAAATGCCCAACGCAATCCTCTTTTCAGCCTGGCAAACATGTACTCAGCTTTTAAGATCAGTCACTAAGTCCATTCTCCTTTCACACAGAGGACAGTTAAGCTCCACCTCTTAGATGGAGTAGAATCCACAATTATTATCTGGAAGTGTTCTGTAAGGAAGATTTGTTCCTTCTGCTTTATTTATTAATCATTTGTTTATATCAGTATGGACTCAGATATTTATTTTATTCTTTATGTTAAAATTAAACACTGTGATTATTTTGTTGCTCAAATTGTTCAGCTTTAGTTTTTCAGAATTTGTTTGCTTAAGCACTTGATCTCCAGTCATCTTGTATTTTCCCTACCCCAGCCCTAGAATCAGTCATTACTTCAAAGAGCAAAAAAGCAGATTTTAATGGTTCATAAATAGTATTTTCTATATCAACCAGATTTAAATTAAATGGTTCTACCTTTAGAGTGTTTCTATCGGTAATATATTATGCCAAAGTTTGTACTTGCTTAATGACCATAACACTTAGAAAAATTACCAAACACCAACAAAAAAAAGCAATGACAACAAAGCCCACAATATAAAATACTTTTTAAGTTAATACTAAATAGAAACCCCATGTATGCTTCATCTCTCCAGACTCATTAGGTAAATAAATATCACTTTTAATAATTTTTTTTCTGTTCTGAAGTAAATATGTCTAAAATATATTTCTACTTCCCCATCCCTCTGGTAGAAAATAAAGACTACAACTTAATATTTTCTTCTTTTTTGTTAACCTTTTTTCTTTATTTTGTGTGTACCAAGAAAACAGAATAACAGAATGGTGAAAATTATGTGTAATATATACTCTGAATAAGGGCTTCATAAATAGAATAATGTCTTAAAGGCTTTACAACAGCTATTTCAGTTACCAGGGGGATCTTTCTACTTAGTTCCAAACCCACAGATACAGTCTAGAATCTGAAAATGCCTAATAATAACCTCTCAGAAACCTATTAGAGGGTAAAGAATATATTTTAAAAATTAAGCAGCCTAGTGGGGAGGGTATAGCTCAGTGGTACAGCATGTGATTAGCATGCACAAGGTCCCGAGTTCAGTCCCCAGTGCTTCCATTAAAAAAAAAAGTTATTAAATAAACCAAATTACCTCCCCCACAAAAAAATCTGCAAAAAAAAATTAAGCGGCCTTACTAAGAAAATTCTTCTAAAATACTGGTTTCAGATACAAACTGAGGGATGTAAAAATTGGTTCGCCTTCCTCCTTTACATGTACAATTAGTACATATAAATGCACAGTCAGTATACTAAATTGATAAAATGGAAACCTCAGAGTCTTTGAAACTTATTTTTTCTACTTTTAGTCTTTAAGGAGGCTAAAGACTTTGCCTTATTTGGTCAACCAACATTTCTGTTTCAAGACAAGAAGACAGTAAAACTCATTTCATTGTATACTTACCATGTGTTAGTATAATCATTTTAAAACACTTCAAATTTCTCTGAGATATAAACTCCATAGGCCAGCACTTACTGTACTATCTGACTCTTCCCCCAAGAATGCATAAATCTTCCTCTATCTAGTCTCTTATCTGTCCAAATTATAACAAACATAAAATCAGTCAAATTCAAAATTTTTAAAGGTTGCCTCATTTTTAACTATACAAGCAATCACTGGAAATACAGTTCTTCATACCACAATAGTATAAAAAAATGAATCTGACTACCCTGTAAAAACAAATTTTACAGTATGGCGTTGCATTCCCTGCCAAAAGCCTAAAATGTATTAAAGATTTATATGCAAAAAAACTGAGGTAGTCACAGTGCAAGAAATCATATTAAGTATAAATAATTTCTCATATACTAAGTAGTATAAAGTTCTGTAAAGTGTAATTAACAAACGTGAACAATACAATCATCAAATGAATATCAAATTCATTTGAGTTGCTTCAGGAAAGAGCCAGGTAAGGCTGTGAAGCTCTCAAAGGGCCAGATACCCACGCCCCTCCTCAATCCCCAGTGGAAGGCTATATCAGAGCCAGAATCAGAAAAATGTCTAGGACAAAAAACATCATTGGGAGTGTAAACAACATTTATTGGCATCCAAAACCAAATGTGATGGGTCTTGTATGCAGAAAGAGATTAGGAAGCAGACT